GTGTTTCCTAAATTTGCATCATCAAAGAGGTTTGATATCATGTCACTTTCTTCAACTTTTTTTTATTTTTCTCATCCTTTTCAAGGAATAAACTGCCTCCTTGAAAATCAAAGAGCGAGAGGAAATTTTCTACCATTTTTAGCACCATTTTGGAGCATGCACTATTCATGTACCAAGTTGATCTTTTCCCTCTCACCTTCACCTGAAACACTAGTCAAAGATTAGTCTTGGGAACCCAGATTAGCTTAGGCCCCTTTATGTGAGTAAAAGGATGAACAAGATTTATTCTAGCCCATAAAGGCAAAGAAAACCTTTTATTTGAAGCATTTTTATTTCGAACCAGGTTCTTAGCCGTATCAGTCTTTTCCTTTTTGGTGAACTTAACATTTTTCTGAAAAGCCTCAAATAAAGCTTTAAATTGATTCTTTAAATGACCTGAGTTTCCACAATGAGTGCATAAACTTTTAGACATGTGAATAGTGTGTGACACAAGATTATTCTGTTTTTTAAAACCTATCCCACTTCGACTAGTGGTTTGCCTTTCTTGAATCTGAGTTAAAATTTCAGAGGACCTGGTCCATCTAAGATTTCTTTCCAAATCCAGTTTGGTATGATCAAGATTTTCTTGTAGCAACCTATTCCTTTCTGTTAAGGCTTGACATTTTATGGTTAACAATTTTATTGGTTAACAATTTTATTTTTTCTTCTAGAGCTAATTGAAGTTCACTAGCAGAGTTTTTGCCCTTGTGACTTAACTCTGAGATTTTAATATGTTCTTTTAATTTATTTTGAAGAAAGTGATTGTGTTTCTCAAGATTGTCATTGACTTCTCTTAAAGATGCATAGTTTTCCATCACTTGTTCTCTTTCAGAATTGACAGACTGATATGCATCTATAAGAGTACTCAATAAGGACTCTAGTTCCTTTTTAAAATATGATTCAATATTTACTTTGATGTGATGAAAACTTACCTTGCTTTGATTGTCATCTTCTTCATCATCTTCAGAATCTGATCCATCCATGAGTGCTAGTATGGTTTCTTGTGATCTGCAGGTTTCCTTTTCTTCCTTGGTTTCCACTGCTACAAGGGCAAGAAAGTCATAATCATCTTCTTGTTCTAGTGCAAGAAGAGACTGATTTTCTGTATCATCACCCTCAAACTCTTCCTCAAATGAATTTCCCATTGCTGCAAAGGCCCTCTTCATTGACATATCTGCCTCTTGAGTCGTCATTCTTCTGTTTGAGGGGACAGACTTATCCTTTTTGATGTCTTTGCCCTTCTCAAAGTTTGCCTTTTTCTGCTCTAAGGCCCAAAGTGGACAGAATTTGATGAAGTGATCTGGACTCCCACACTTATGACAAACCTGGTCTTTAGTGTTTTCAGATGGTTTTTGAAAAGCTTTCTTTTGAAAGGTCTGCCCTCTCTTTAGCATTCTAGTGAACCTTTTAGTTATGAGGGCAATATTTTCATCTTCAAAATCATCTGATGCAGTAGCCTTTAGAACCAGGTTCCTTTCCTTTCTTTTTCCTCCAATTTTCTTTTCTTGGTTTTTCTTAAGTTCGTATGTGATGAGATTACCAATTAACTCATCCATTCCCAGTGAGTCTAGGTCGCGGGCTTCAGTGATATCCTCGACTTTTCTTTCCCAAGTTTTAGGAAGGACACTCAAGAGTTTCCTTACTGCTTTTCCGTTAGGCACTATCTCTCCTAAAGAGTACATCTCATTGATGATGGAGGTGAACCTGGTGTGCATGTCTTGAATAGTCTCTCCTTCTGCCATCCTAAACAGCTGATATTGCCTGTTCAAGTTATCAATTTTAGACTTCTTGACTTGCGTTGTTCCCTCATGAGCTGTTTGCAGTGTTTCCCATATGGCTTTGGCATCTTGACATGACGAGATTCGATTGTATTCGTCTGGTCCTATGCCACATATCAGAATTTTCTTGGCTTTGGCATTGTTTTGAATTGCAAGCTTGTCTTCAAAATTCCATTCTTTTCTTTCCTTTGGGATTTTGGTGATTCCATCAGTTGCGGTTTTCATAGGTATGGTTGGGCCATCTAGAATTACTCCCCATAGATCAGGGTTTTCGCCAATAAGATGGTCCATCATACGATTTTTCCACCATCCATAATATTTTCCATTGAACAGTGGTGGTCGTGTTTGTGAAGCTCCCTCTTGTGGGGTAGGTGGTGCTGCCATTTAGTCTTTTCAAGGTGTGAATCTTTTAACGAAAAGACCTGCTCTGATACCAATTGAAGAAACCTAACCCTAGAACACGAACCAGGTTC